AGAAGAGGTGGATGGAGGGCTGGCCAGCACATGGCCAGCTATCTTGTGTGTTGGCTTCAATGGCCAGCTCATGTGTGTTGGCTTCCTAACATGGCCAACCTTGCAACACATGGAGGATCACCTCCTTCACATGGGGTGAATTCAACAAATCACCCCCTCAACCCATGTGAGGTGATCCACTGCACACACTGCTGCTAATCTTGTCACGCCCAAATTCAACATAGTCTGCATCTCTTCACTGAGACGCTGCATCCCCTGAAGCTAGAGATAAAACACCAGAGATACAAGAGGAGGAGGGAATCCGACATCCTCAACTCAACTCACACCACTCTCTGATTTGGAGAGAGCCACTGCTCCTATCTCCCACAGATCTCTTCCATGCTTCCTGTCTCGGATGTCTTCACTTGCTATGCTTGAACTTGCGCAACCAAGATATCCGACACCCCCTGATTGGATGTCCTGCACCCCCCTGCTCGGGATACCCTTGCATTACCGTGCAACTCCTTGCATGATGAACACTGGAGCAACTAGAAAACTTCAGAGTTTGACACATCAACATCCTCAAGTTTCCTTGCTCGGAGCTTATTTCTGAACAACCAGCCTTTGCCCTTCTGCACTTCTGAACAACCTCCTGGCGTTTTCACATACGCTTGTTGTCTGTGCTGCAATCCCTGATGTTCGGTTCTGTCTTACTTGTACGTCCGTACTGATGTTTGACAGTTAGCCCTTCTGTCAAGACAACTTCCACCGGTCTGTACAAGTTACCACTATGCAACTCTGTGCATAGTGCTCGCACCCATGGCTTCTGGTCTCCCTGCGTCAAGCTTGCTTGAGAGATCTGCATCAACTCTATCATCTGCTGCCATGGAACTAAAGAAACCACCATAGAGAAATAAGACTTGCCACTCCTTGGCACGCACTCTTGCGTTTTACCTGTCTCAATTTCTCTGTTTGGAAGTTCCTGTGAACTGTCAACAACCCGCTGCTGCACACTCTTCTCGCGCCTCTGTACGACACTCTAGCGTACCCTTGCACTGTTGCACGTCTGCAATTGTACTTCTGCGCTTAGTATGCTCCTCTGCAACTATTGTTCTACATGTCCACATACCATTAGTACCTACTCGTATACAGTAGCTCCAACAGCCACAGTATTTCCCTGAGCCTGTACTGGTTGCCAAATCATCTATCCGTCGATGAATGGCCTTCTCTTTTGATTGAACCAGATCCTCCAACGAACTCCGGAGATAATCATTTCTGTAATCCTCTGATCGCCCCTGACCAATCCTGATCTCCCTCGATTTGCCATTTGATCAAGCCTGATCTCCTCTGGTCTTCAATGATCTATCTCAATCTATATCTGGTTGTCCAATCTGGTCAGAATCTGCCCATTCTAACCTCTTCAGTGAATCCGCAACATTCCATAATATCCGGCAACCTTCCTTCGAGTATTGAAGATGGCAAACACCCATGTTTTGACAATCTTTCCAAACCGTTCAGAATTTCACTATTCTGACCTCGCGGTTGCGTCCGGAGCGGTCCGTTTAGCTAGAACCAACCTTCGTTGCATTTCCGGGGACCTCACTGAAAACTATCCCCGAAAGCTGGGCCACACCACAATTTTCTGATAATTTTGGGCCAAATTGCAATTTTCAGAAGTTCAGGGAATATTCCGTGTACCAACAGAATATTCCGTCCACTGCCCCTGACGCCGTCCGCCACTTTAATCTGCCTTCTTTTTACAGAAACTCCGTCTTCAAAATATGACCGTACGGATGTGTCCGGAATACTCCAAATAGTTGAAAACCACTATTGGATCACCAAAAACGGACCTCAAATGGCTTCGTTCTAGCCAAAACATTTTGTACGCCTCAGATCTGCGGCTGTACCTTCGCCACAAAGCACTGGATCCTTCCTCAAGCGGCTGCACCATTGCCGCGTAGCACTGGATCCCTCCCTGGATGCTGACGTGGCAGATGACATGGCACAACCGTGCTGCCGTGGCGATGACATGGCTGCCACGCGTCGATGACCTGGCTGCTGACGGGGCTGCCACGTGGATGACACGTGGCGTTGTTGATGACACGTCGCTGCTGACGTGGTACGCGCGTGCCTTACACGCGCCTTCCCCCACTTACCTTCTTCCTTCCGCCGCTCGTGGGGCGCGTGCCTGCGACTGGGACGACGCGCCGACTGCCTTCACGGCGCGTGGGGGCGCGTGCAGAGACTGGGCCTCACGCGCCTTCTTCCAGGGGCGCGTGAGGGCGCGTCCGGCCTCCGTTGGGTGTCTGCTTTATATTTCTGGACTCCTCTCGTCGAGCCCTTGCTCCTGGTATGCTCAAAACCTGATTTCGAGCAACTTGATTTCTGGGCAGTTTCAAACAGCACGCTGTTTTTGTTCCGAAATGCCACCAACGAGGCTTTGATACCAATTGTTGGGATCTGGGATCCCGCCCAAGACCTTGTAGAAATTATTCCATGCAGAAAAACACACCCACACTCAAGGAGACACAATATTTAACGTGGTTCGGCCTCAATGCCTACGTCCACGGGAGAGTAGCCGGTTATCACTATAACAATGGAAATATTACAGAAAGATTACAATAGAGGAGGAGCTCACACTCTCCTCACTCACACACTCACCCGTCTCCCTCGCTCACACCGAGGGAGACGGTCTCTCCGCCTCACATATTTCACTCTCTGTGGCTTGCTCTGCTCTCTCTCTCTCAAACCCTCCCCTCAGCCTCCATTTATACACTACAGAAGAAGTGGATGGAGGGGCTGGCCAGCACATGGCCAGCTATCTTGTGTGTTGGCTTCACATGGCCAGCTCATGTGTGTTGGCTTCCTAACATGGCCAACCTTGCAACACATGGAGGATCACCCCTCACATGGGGTGATGATATCCCACATATATGACCCATTGTGTCACGGGCTGGGCGCTTGTCATCCTCCCGAGAAGCCGGCTCCACGAGTGGTACTGCGTACCCCCGTGCATTATGCCTGAGGACCAACTCAGGAGATGCGATAGGGATCTACCCTGCCTACCTTGCCGCTCACAAACTAATGCGCTTGCAAGGTGCTTGGTGTAAAACTCGCATCCCTAATGAGTCGGTACGTGACATGCTACCACCGCCAGTCCCTGGCGCCCCCGTCAGGGGGACATTACCTTGCTTGCCCCCATGCTTGTCCGTTCCCCTACTCACTGGAAACCCGCCCCGCGCGGACACCACCCTTGGTGCGGACGCCACAATGAAGGTGCTTGGTGTAAATCCCACGTACCGTCCCCATCACAGTGCCCCTAGGCTGGCTCTGATACCACTTGTCACGAACTGAGCGCTTGTCATCCTCTCGAGAAGCCGGCTCCACGAGTGGTACTCCGTACCCCCGTGCATTATGCCCGAGGACCAACCCAGGAGATACAATAGGGATCTACCCTGCCTGCCTTGCCGCTCACAAACTAATGCGCTTGCAAGGTACTTGGTGTAGAACTCACATCCCTAATGAGTTAGTACGTGACAATTGGCAGTAATTAAAAGGAAAATGATAAAAACAGCCCTTATGGCTGTTGTTAGTGTTGGAAAATGTGTAAAGTGTATTGAAATGAGAGGAATGTAAAAATATATAAAAGTGTTTTGGGATATGCGGAAAGTGTTTTTGGATTATTAATTTTTTGGCATTTCGTGCTTGCTAGTGACATCCCTCAGGGATATCATTAGCAGGACCCTAATGAAAAAAGAAGAAAAAAGTTTGCAGTAAACCCAAAATTCCAGCATACATGAACCCCTTTGAATGAAGAGAATCTAATCTGCCAGCAGTCCTCTGGACTATATCATTTTTAGCTAGTCCTGCTATTGTGTTTGTGAAGCTGCAACACATCAAGAAAGTATTAAGTACTGCAGACTGAATTCGGTCCCCTGTACAAAATTTCAAGCTTCTGTACACAATGCTAAGGCGGTTTTAAAGATACAAGAAAGAAATAAAAGGCTACTAAATATTTGAATTGGAATTAGACGTTCATGGTTTTGTTCTACAACTCAAATTATATCAAAGTTCAGACAATTATTTTCATTCGAATTTGGGAAAAAAAATTAATATGCCTCTTGAATTGCATGCTTAAAGTCTTACCACAAAACCAACACGAACCCCAAGATTGCAATTCAACCCTCAAACCCAAAAATAGGTCCATGTTACTCATTCAACACGAGAGATAGAAAATAAATTGTCACCACAAAAAAGTTTACTTATGTGGTTTAACTAGGGAAAATTGTTAATTTGATACTCTTCATACATATGTATCTGTCCACTTCCAAGTAGATGAATCACATTAACGATAGCAAACTAACTAGGGAGGATAATGCTAATTGGTCTTCAGAGGCATTCGTAGAGTAAGCATTGATGCATGAACGCCATCAGGCACAACAATGAGGCATTGTTGACTGAATAATATTTGTCATATGCTTTGGGGCAAAGAAATAATGCATCCATCAAATAGGACACATCAAGGCTCACAAGCAAATTAACTAAATTTCTAGAAACTAACAAACATTGAAGTGTGATCCACGCTAAACTTTCAACCATGGAGTAACCTATGAAGCATGTGTACAAGTACTGGAATGATACCGGTACGTCAATATAGTAAAATCTAAAAAAAGTATGGTACTGTTGGCTAAAATGTTGGCTTATTTTTCCTACGAAGGAAAATATCATAAATGCGAGCGTGCCAGCAAGGATTGAAAAATCCTTACAGATTAAATTCAAGCCAATTATCAAGCGATTGTGTTGACGGTTCTTTTGCCTCAACGAAGAGGACTTCAAAATCTAAAAAAAGTATGGTACATGTATGGCTTGGTTCATTCGTTAAAAAATATTTATTTTTAATTTGGAGTAATGCAAAAACTAGTTGAATGGTTTAGTTGGTTAATATCTAACCTATGTTAATGTCATTATATTAAATAATTCACAACCTAAAGTTTAATTTTAAAATTATGCTAAAAAAAAAAGAGTCCAATCAAATTCATCTGTGTATAGATGAAAATACTTTTCTGGCTGAGGTATGGCTTGGGTGCCTACTGGGTACCTCTAGGGTATGGCAAAAATTAAGAAGAAAAAATTTGAGTACGTATTTTGTGTATCCAATATATATTCAGAAGTACCATGCAAAGTATCAATACCCGGTATGAGTACAACATGTTTGCCGAAATAACCTTGCTTCATAGGGCGTAACATATTAACTTAATCAGTAAGTCTATATAAGTTGTTAATCTGACTGTTCTCACCAATAGAAACATGATTATAAAGTCATAATACTATTTGGAGGTCTTCTATCAGACGCAATCCTATATTAAAATTATTATTATTATTATTTTTTTTTTTTTAATTAAAGGAATGCCTCATGATCCATTAATGTCATGCATCACACTTCATTTTGTTCAACTCTACACATTCAGATTGACCTAATCACCTTTAAACTATTTGCAATGAGTTCAAAATTATATCGCCCTAAGCATCCTCCATAAGCTTTTGATATTTAGCCAATTGTTAATAAGAAGCCATTTCCAAAGTAAGATTTTTCTTTTGGTAAATAGCTTTTACACATTACAGAACTGTTTCTTGTTTTCTTTGCTCTAGTGGTTGGTCTATATTGAGCACACACATAAGCAAATGCATATGGAGGTACTTATCTACAAGTACATTGATTCAAAATCTTAAAACAAAGTAAAACTCTTCGAATAAACCAAGTCAATATTACCCAGCAGCCATTTCAGCAGCCTTCCTGACACTAGAATTGTGTAAATTCTTAATCTCATCAGCACCACCCTCAGCTCCAATCTCTATTTTCTTTCCTTTTTCTGACTCAACAGCGCTTCCATCAATTTCAGAACTTAAATTAAAAAATTGTGGCACTTGTTTTAGTTTTCCGTCATAAAAAGACTTTTGTTCAGATGATAGCTTTGCTTTTCTTCGGTTAAACAACAGAGCATAGTTGTTGGACAATGCCTCCAATTCTTGAAGTGATAACAATTTAAAAGCTTGAACCAGAAGTATTATTCCAGCCGGCATAGCATCAAAATTTGAAAAATATTCAACCAAGAAGATAAAGAAAGAGACCTCCAACTGTTCTGGACCTCTATTTATGTAAAAGCATCTATTGAATGTGACTTCTTCAAATGATTGTTCCTCATCATCTTGCAGGTGAACGCCCTTCAGATTCTTCCCAACTCCAATACCAGTTTCTGTAATCAGAAGATCCATGGTCTCCTTACCTACAAGCTGTAGCACATGCATTCCCTTTGCAGTAAAAGCTTTTCCACTCTAAAGCAACAGCTAGGAAATAAGCTACTATTAACAATTATTAAGCAGGATAATAAGTGTCATGACTCATGAGTACCTCTATTATGGATGGGGCAACAGGACCCCCATGTTGAACAGATTCAGCAAGGTTTTCTGCAGAATGCTCAAGCCTAAAGAAAATAAGATTCCAAAATCATTTCATTAGCAGAAAAAATGCAGCACCATGAAGGCAGAGATATAAGCGAATCTGACCCAATTGAACAATTGTGGGCCTGCGTACAACTAATGCTGCTTTCGTCATGGGATGATTAATTATAGAAAGAGCAAATCTTAAAAGGTTGAGTTGCAAAGCAGTCTTACTTCTGAACAAAATTAGAACCCCCTCTCAATGCACTTCCTAATACCTGCCATGCTCCTGAAGTAAAATTCTCTACAGAACTATCAAGAACCTTCAAACCCTGCAAATTGAAAAGTTAGAAAAACTGACAAACTCGAGTGTTAAAGTCAAGATGTTAAATAAATAAGTATGCTTCAAAAATTCAGCAAAGTAACTCAACTAGAGAAAGTAAACCCCAAGCATTTGTCAAATATAGCCCCTGACCATCATATAGAATACTCCATAGACCAATTACCCAACACCTTTAAATTATAAAGAGTTGCCAAAACAAAAAAAAAAAGGTTGGTTTTAATGAATTCAGATAGAGAAATATGAGGGCAACATGCAAAAAACATAAGCTTAGATCAGTATGCAGTCCATACTCCCAGCAGGGCCAGTACCATTTATTGATGAAACCAAAGTGACCAACACCAGCTGGGGGCCCATCTATGAAGCATGGATGGAGGTCATGCACCAATGTCCAACACATGTCAAACACGCGGGGACATGTTTGGGACACATTAGTTACTAAAATAGCTTGTTCCCAAACGAGACCCGTTGTGTCCTATTTTTTTAAATATATATATTTTATTTTTTTGTCAGAATATAATACCTAAGGTTAATAAGTTTGATGAGAATATATAGGTAATATTTAAAAAAAACTGACATATAATAAATAGGAAATTTATTAGAAAATCCCTTTTCAAGTATTTGTATCATAATTCATCCATAAGATATTCTTATGTTCTAATAAGTCCTCTTATTTGGACATTTGATCTACCAAATCCTAATTCTCATATTTAAGGTATTTTATAGACATTTCTACCCTTACAAATATTTTTTGAACGGTTAGTAATTTAGTATTGTGAACATTCATATTTTACAATGTGAAAATTTATATTGCCGATGTGAACATTCACATTGATGGTATGAACATTTACATCACAGAACATTCACAATGTAAATGTGAATATTATTAGAGGTATTTTGGTAACTATGTCACCCATAAGTAGGGGTGTCTGCGGTTCGGTTTGGGACGGTTTGCGGTTCGATTTGGACCCGCCCGCATCTATGCGGTTTGGAAAAAAGTCAACCCGTAACCGCCCAGAATGCGGTTTGCGGTTTGTGCGGATAGGGTTCGCGGTTGTGCGGGCAGTTGCGGGCGGTTTGCGGATTGAATTTTTTTTCAAAAATTATTTTTAAACCCTTTTTTTTCCTCCCATTTTGTCAATCTTTATTTTGGACATTTTTCCTCATATTTTATAAAATGCTCCAACATTAATTAATGAATTAAAACTTATAAAAAAACTTACAAAATAAAAAACACAACAAATTCAATTCGAAACCTAAACAAATCACTCAAAATCTACATTCATCATTAACTTACATTCATCCTACATTCATCATTCATAACCCAAATAAAAAAAATCCTACATTGAAAATTCTACATTCATCATTCCTAACCCAAATACAAAAAAAGAAAAAAGAAAAAAGAAAATAATTCTTCATTAACTTACATTCATCCAAAATGCAAAAAAAAAATAAAAATTCATTAACTTACATTCATCTAAAACCAAAATGCAATTAAAAAAAAAATTGTTGTTAAACTTCAATCAATACAAACCCATGAAATAAAATAAAAACATTTCAATTCCAATCCTTCATTCACTTGTTGTCAAACTTCATTCACATCCAATCCAACTTTCACAAATTCCAATTCCAATTCCAATTCCATGCATTTGGTTGATGAACCCTACACAAAAATAAATTGAAAAAATATAAACTTTAATATTCAATTATAGTAAAAAATGAAAAGATAAACAAATGTCTATATATTTCAACTCAATATAGTAAGAAAATGTGTTGAGTATATAAAAAAATTACCAATGATCAAATGGATATTAGAGATCAATTATAGCATCAACATTATAGGTTGAAGTTGAAGATGAGCTTGACTCCAAAGTACCTAATTATGAATCAACAAAAGAAGATTAATAAAACTTACATTAGAAAATGAACAATAGAAATAAAAATGAAGATAAATAAATTCTCATTTACCCGAGTCATATTGCTCAAATTCCTCCACATCATCCATCGCCTTTCGAAGAGAAATTGGAAGGTTGCTTCGAAGCCAATTTTGAGTACATACAAGAGCTTCAACCATAGAAGGTGAGAGTGAACTACGAAATGAGTCAAGAATACGTCCTCCCGTACTAAAAGCCGACTCAGATGCAACGGTAGAAATAGGCATGGCCAACACATCCCTTGCAAGTTGTGATAACACCCTATATTTGGTTGCATTCACCTTCTAATAATCCAAAATCTCAAATGTTTGATTCTTTGCAAAATGTTCAACCTCGAATAAATATTGTTCCAATTCCGACTTAGATCCACTAGTGCATCGCCCCTCCAAATAGGAATTAAATTGGGAGTCAACTAAAGAATAGGGATTATCATCATCATCATCTTCCACCATATTCACAACTTCACTCACACTTGGAAGTTTCTCATTTGAAGGATAAAGTGTGACATAATGACTATACAAACGACTCAAACAACTCTTAACCTTGTCTACCATCTCTTCCACCTGCCTATTATCTCCAAGAAATAAATTGGAAAAACAAAACTCCAAGTATGTCATTTTTTTGGTAGGATCAAGAACCACTGCAACATACAACAACAAATTGATTTTACTTCCATCCCCCCAATACTTGCTAAACTTTAGCTTCATAGTCTTTGCCATTGAGCTCAAAGTATCATCCTCCTCCAAAATTAATTAGTTAATTTTGCTTTCAATGACACAGGATAGGTTAGGCACGGTAATCTCTGGAAGCTTCAAGTAATACACGTTGACACACGGTTTAAAATTTTAACTCATATCCTAACAAAATAGTATGAGAAGTTGACTGCAAGCTACTCCCATAGTTCTGAGAACTCGTATACAAAACATTATAGCCGCCTTCAATAGCATTAACACATGAAATGTTGGAATATATTAAAATGAATACTAGGGCGAATCATGAACGAAAAAGAAAATATATACTTATCTATTTACAAACTAAAAGAAACGGGGGGGTGTCCGCGGTTCGGTTTGGACGGTTTGCGGTTCGGTTTGGACCCGCCCGCATTTTCTGTGATTGGGATGCCAGAGATAGAGGAAAATTTCTCTGCTTAACATCATGGCCAGCTTTGTATAGAATCGTCCATTTCTTTCAACCCATCACTCACAACAAGATTAGGAATATGTGCACAATAACGCATGTGAATAAACTCATGTTGCAAAATAGTCCCCTTCCAATCTTTGGTTATCGTTTTCAAATATTGAATGGTAAGATTATTTGAACTAGCATTATCAACTGTTAAGGTGAATATGCTATCAATGTTCCACTCAATTAAACACGACTCAATTTTTCGACCCAATGTTTCTCCTTTGTGATCCTCAACTTGTTGAAAATTTATGATTCTTTTTTGAAGTTTCCAGTTATCATCAATGAAATGAGCAGTCAAACACATGTAACACAAATTCTGAATAGATGTCCAAGTGTCCGTAGTAAAGCAAATTCTACGACCCTTCATGGCCTTCTTTAACTTATCCCTTTCATTCTTGAATATGTTGAGCACTTCTCTAGATATGGTTTGACGAGAGGGAATTGGTGTGAATTTGGGTTGCATGACATTACAAAATCTTCTAAACCCAACACCCTCCACAAATCTAAATGATAACTCATCAATGACCACCATCTCCGCAAGAGCCCTTTTACAAGTATCAAAATTAAAAATTGTTGCTACAACCTCAACACCTTCTTCATTTTGTTTCGGTTTAAGATTTAATGTTTGTTGACCATCTGTATCCCTATTTGGATATTCTTTACAATTGGGTGTATGACTCCTCAAATTGCTAGTCCCATGAAGTCTAGAGTCAGCCATATACTCTTTCTTACAATATTTACATACGGCTGTACGCTTCCCATCGGTCCTTACAACCTTGTCAAAATGATCCCAAATTGTGGATGGTGCTCTCCCCCCTCCACCCTCACTCTTTCTCGTTGGGGGTCTAGGAGGCTTAGGTTCAGGTTTAGGTTCGGGTTCGACTAAGAGGGGATTCATTTGAGAATTAGAGGATTCCGGAGGTACAAGATTGAATACTATCCTCCATTTAAACTGGATTACAAAAACAGTCACAGATTCAATTTTAATTCAATCAAACAGATTAATTCAACAGATTTAATCAAAAATTAATTCAACAGATTTAATCAAACTGAATTAATCTGTCACAGTCACTAGTTCTTGATTAAAATTTAATTTCTGATTAAAATTCCCTAAAACTCAATCTACATGTAAATCACAAATTAGTGTTACAAATAAAACTCATAAATAGAATAAACCCAAAAAATCAGTGATAGTATACAAAAACAGTCACAGATTAATTCAACAGATTTAATCAAACATTAATTCCAAAAAACAAATTTATTTTTCATAACAGATTGAATTCCAAAAAAAACATCTGATTCAAATTTTAATTTTCATAACAGATTCATCACAGATTTAATTCAAAAAACACAGATCTGTTGCAACAAACAAAAAATAAATAAATAAACACAGACAGATCTAATTTATGAACTGATCCAATTTATACAGATCCAATAAATAAATAAACACAGATCCAAAACCAGAGAGTAAGAGACTGTGAGATGAGAGATAAATTACACAGATTAATTACACAGATTAATTCAATACAGATAAATTACACGGACAGATTTAAATCAAAAAATCTGTTGCTTAAATCAAAGATATATTCCAAACAAACAAACACAGATAGAGATCGGGGCGAGAGAGAGAGAGAGAGGGGCTTACCTGTGAGAGAGAGTCGATCGGTGTAGATTCAAAACTAGAGAGTAAGAGACTGTGAGATGAGAAAGTGAGGGAGATGAGATAGTGAGGGAGACAGATCAGAGAGAGACAGATCTCATATATTAAAAAAAAACACCAAAGATCGGGGAGAGAGAGACATAGACAGAGATCAGAGAGAGGGGCTTTACCTGTATGCGATGAGGTCGATCTTGTGAGAGAGAGGCTCGATCACTGAGTGCGCAGATGAAAATCGCGAATAAGAGTGAGAGAGAGACCGAGAGGAGGAGAGGAGTAGGAGATAGGGTTCTGATGAATGAGTGAGTGAGTGAGTGGGTTTGATTTGATTGGATTAGGGTTTTTCTTATTTTGGACGATCAGATTTGAAGGGGAAAAAAAGAGGTTATTTTGAACGGTCAGATCAGATCAGATTAAAAAAAAAAAGAGTTTTATGCGGGCGGGTTGGGCGGGTGCGGGTCAAACCCGCAACCCGCCCGCAACACGAAATTTACATAAAATCCAAACCGCACCCTACCCTAATGTGTTTGCGAAACCGCCCATACATGCGCGGTTCGGATCGGGTAGGGCGGTTTGGGCAGTTCGGATGACCCTATGCCCAGCCTTACCTATAAGACTTATTGGAACATAAGGAAATAATGTGAACTAAATGGAATATAAATAGATGAAAAGGGATTTACGAAAAAGTGCCGCTATAATAAATATATAAATTATATGTTTTGCACATGCTCCAAGCATGTCATATCCTGCATTTTTTTGAAACTTTACGTGTCTGCATGTCCGTGTAGTGTCTGTGTATGTGCTTCTTAGGGCCCATTTAGAGAGAAAGGGGTAAAATTTGAAGAATGCATGGTCCATAACTGTATATATGCAAACTGATAGTGGAGGATATGTGTAAGGAAATTACGTACCACTGAAACAAATAAAAAAAGACAAACACAAGACAAGTGATTAATTTGAATTCTAAATCTATTACATGCCTGTCCAAGGAATGAATCCTCACTAACCTTTTCCAATTTATCGAAAGCAGCCTTACGCTGATTGTCAAATTCATCTTCATCCTCATCTTCTCCTTCAACTGCAGATTCTTCCCCATCACCCTCCTTAGAAGATTCTGAGTCTTCAGCCACATTCTGCATAGCTGTAATGCCTTTTGCTGCAGTCCTAGCAACCTCAACAGCCTGCATCCAGGAAACCAGAACTCAACTAGTTTGCAAATAATGCATCAAGGATGTCAAGCAGCATAGCACCAAATGTGAGGCAAATTACATATGAACAATCCAGAACCATGTCTAAGCATAGCCTCCCTGATTTTGGCAGGATCAGTGACATCCCATTACAAAAATAAGGGAGATAAAATCCAAAACATTTTTGTAACTTTCCTTATTAAGTGAAATTATTGAAAGAGTGAAAACTGTCATGTTTCCAGTATGCCCAAAAAGGCTCCTCATAAATCACTGTGAAGTACTTATCCAGTGAAATTTCATTTAGAATTATCATATATAACTGAATAAGTAACATTACATAATCTGCAAAAAGCAACTCAATACAAGCAAATTGGGATGAAGGAGGTTAGGAGTGTGGGACTAAACTACAATGGCACCATTTGTATTGCTAGTTATGGGCAGTGGTCATGAGTGGTAATTGCCTGTGTTGATGGTGGAGATTCATAGATAATCCATACATGTCATTCAGACCATCACAGGGTTTTATTCTGTATACGGTTCTAGTGGGATTCTCTCTCTAGCAATTAACCATGCTGAACTTTTTGGAACTCATTCAATCAACAATCAACCGGGATTTTTTAGTCAAATTCACCTTAATTTCACTGCTTGACAAGGACAAACATTTCATATGTTCTCTCTCTATATCAATATACATTCATGTATATAATACCACAAAATATACACATAATTATACACAAACAATTATGCATACATACAAGGATGGTTCGCAAAATTATCTGTTGAATCCACCTTGATTCCATTCTGTCCACCAACAATTAAAGCTATTATTCTTTAAGCACATCACCACCGAGTAGTCAACAACCATTTTTTTTAATTTTTTTATTTACAAGTATTACAACCATATACGTTTTCCCCTAAATAGTATTGATAAAAAAAAACTAGAATTATACTAAAATTCAATAAATGTTTAGGCATAATTACGGCAGAATTAAGTTAGTATAGTAGCCGAATGAGTATGCAAATTTTGAAACCAAGAATAGATATTGCTTGAACCCCATAGAAAGTTTAATTATTAAAGCATCCCCAAATGTAAAATCGCAACTGATACTTAAATCGTAATTTTCTCGGCAACCAAACAGACCATCGTCGGGAAAAAAGAAAGAAAATTCAGATGAGAGAGAGAGAGAGAGAGAGAGAGAGAGAGGTACATTGCGAGAGATCCCTTGGGCAGCGACAGTAGCGGCCTTTTGGAGATCTGATAGAACGGAGAAGGGAGAGAAATCCCAACCACCCCATCCGCCACCGCGGCCCGGTGCTTCGGCTTCTTCCTCTTGCTTGGGTGACTTCGACAAGCTATCCTCCATTGAACAAAAAGGGAAATTGAAAGCTTTCTTGGTTGTTTCTCTTTCTGAATTTGTAATGGGTGTGCGTTTGGATTGTGAGAAACTTCAAGCAATTAATTTTGGAATTTCGGATTATTATTATTGTTATTATTTTTCTTCGATTATGTCGACTCTGGAAGTTCGAGGAGGTCCGATGTTTTGACGTTCTTTGCTAGTACCAAAAAGATTACCAATCTCATACTGGTGATGTAAACGTCGTTGTTTGGGTTGTTTTGGCAACATAGTTTTTAGTCATTTTTTTTTGATTGATAGGAAAAGTTAAAAGTTGACTTTTTTGTCTTTTTTTTTTTTATTTGGGAAGTTGGTTTTTAACCAACGGTAAAATTATAATTTTACCTCTCATGGGTCAAAATGTGTTACATAAGTGAAGTTGTAAATATTTTAAATAAATGGGAGTAGTTTGGTCATTTTATTATGATTTGACATCATAAACAAATATTAATTAAAAAGTCAAAAGTCACTTTTTACCCACTTCCCAAATCATTTGTCTAAAAAAACCAAAAACTTAATTAAAAATCAAAAAATCACTTTTTACCATCTTTTCAAAACTACCCTTTATTAGCACCAACCAGATGCTCAAACCACTATGCTCAAACCACAATGCTTTGTTCTTTTACCTATGCCAAATCAGCCCTTGTACACATTTGTAGTTTTGTACTACGTTATTATCATGACCTTCCAGCTCAACGTTTTTTTCCAAAAAAAAAAAAGAAAAAAAAATAGTATTGACCTCTCTATTGAAATTTAAAAATATATATAGATATATATAATTAATTTTAACAATTTTAATATAATTATATTAATTTTTTTTCACTAAGATAAAGGATCAAAATTAATGCAGATGATATAAAAACACAAATATATACAAGATAAAATATATATTTTAATATAAAAGATATAACATCATTTTTTTATTCATACAACGAATGAATTTTAAATGAAAATAGGGCCAAGTATTTATATAAGACTTATTGAATTTTCTCTAAACTATAGAGGAAGTTAGTGTCATTTACTCTTTTCTTTTTCTTTTTTAAATTTTATTTTAGGGTCTCCCTTACATTACATGTGCTTCTCAAATATTAGAGAATATTTACAAATAAATAAAAATTGTGAAAGCAAAAAACAATTTTCAATAATTTCTAAGTTTGATTGATCTAGCGAAAAAAAGAGAGAAGATAAATTACAAACGATTTACTTAAAATACAAATTATCCTCTGTGTTTCTAGAAATTACAAATACCCCCTTAACCCTATATTTTATTTAAGAGAATTAACAACTAAACTAAAATTTCTAACTACTCTCTTGTGTAATAATAAAATTACATGAATTGTTAATTGAAATATGTTTATGACATCGTTAAAAATTGTTAATTATTTGTTGTTTTATTAATAAAAGATGTCAATTGTTATGTAATTAGAAATTTAAAAGTTCGGGATATAATTTTTAGAATCATAGAAAACCTCAAGAGGTGTATTCATAGCTTACTAAAAAAATAAAAAAGTAAAAAAACAATATTTTCACAATTTTCAAACATCAGAGCTACAAATCCAGAAGATTTATCCAAAAAGCTCAACTTGTGATTCATACTTAATCTAAATGTATATTTCATATTTAAAAATTTTGGGTTATTAGATTCATCTATTTTTAAAACACTTTTTATACAAATCTCAACAATAAACAATGACTAAAGCGTGATTGTATGGACACTCTTCAATTTTCAGTAGTTAAAATACAAAGAAAAAAAACATGGTTATAGAAAACTCTCCAAATGTAATTAGTTTGGGAGAATTTTATTAAAATAGTTATTGCAGTAGTAACTAACCTGTTAAAAAGAGTAAAATAAGATAAAATTAGTTATAACAACCAACAAATCTCTTTTAAAAAGTTTGTTGGTGATGCTCTTATCACATTTGTTGGCATTTGCATTTAACAGAGCTTGAAGAATAGGTTTAGAGAAGAATGGACTGCAAAAACGAAACAATATTTGAGCCCGAGATTGGATTATAGTTATATAAACAAATCAAGTTTAAATATATCTTAAAATTTATTAATTTTTAAAATTTCACTCTATAAATTTATAATTACTAAGGTAGCGTTTGGTAACGTTTACGTTTTTTGTTTAAGTTTATAAAAATTTTATAAATTGATTTTTGTTTATTTTTAGAAAAACATAAATTACAAACGCGTTTGGTTTGAACAAAACGTTAAAAAAAATTTTAAAAGCATAAACTAAAAAATATGTTTTTTCAAGCATAAAATATTTATTTTTATTTTTATTATTTATGACAATGGGATCACACATTATAATTGAAAAAAAATTAATTTAAAAAAATAATTGAAAAAAAAATTTAATTGGAAAAAAAATTATTTAAAAAAATTGAAAAAAAATTAATTAAAAAAATAATTGAAAATAAAATTAATTGGGAAAAAAATATTTGAAAAAAAAGATTAATTGAAAAAAAAATTGAAAATAAATTATTTGAAAAAAAAAATTAATTGAAAAAAAAAATTGAAAACTGAAAACGTAAACTCATTTTTTGAGTTTACGTTTTTTCCTCAAATTTATAAACTGAGACAATTATTTATAAACCAAAAAAATTATCGAACAAGTTTTTATAATAGTTTCTAAAATTTTTGTAAATATAAACTGAAAATTGAAAACGGAATGATTACCAAACAGGCCCTAAACACCTCGTTTGTTTTGAGAATTAGGAATATAAGTAATATCGTAGACCCTACCTATTTTGTTTAGTTTCATGAAATTGTTGAGTGAATTTTTTTTAGCCTTCATTTGAGATATGGGTTGACTTTTTAATTTTTTAACTATTCTAGTCTGTGGCTAAAAAAAATTGTTTAGAATAAGCTTTTTTGACTTTTGTGAGAGAAAAAATGAAATGATTATGATTTGGATATAACATTTTAGAAACATTCTATTTCCACACACTAAGTTTCTTTACTCCACACACTTAATGAATTTTTTTAGAATCACAATTTTATCCTTAAGTAAATTACCATTTAGGACAAAACCCTAAATCTACTACACACCAACCACCTCTTCCCTCTCCAGCCACCGGTAAACCAGACTATCGCCGTCGTCACCTTCCCAGCCTCGTCACACCGCTGCCGTTGTCGTCTGCATTCCAACCTGTCACTCAACCGTCACCTTCGTCACTTCAGCGATCATTCCCGACGACCCACCATCTACGAGCACTACCATCTCCTTCTCTTCTTCTTTTTCTTCTCCAGTTCCGGCACTGCACCCCCCAGCCACCACTACAACTCGCTCCACCGCTGACGCTACAACCTTCCATCACAACCTGTCCTTCACATCCACTCCACAGCACGACCCAACTCTTCAACCTTTCGATCCGAGAGAGAGAGAGAGAGAGAGAGAGAGAGAGAGAGAGAGAGATTGATTTATGTTTCCAAATCTAGGGTTTGAAAAGGAAAAGAAAAAGAAATGGCTAGAGATGGAAACAGAGAGGAACAAAGGAACGATAGGGGTAAAGGTTGTGGGTAACTGCAATGCGAGATCCGTGGAGTGAGAAATTGAGGAGGAGTTGGGAGTGAAAGATGGGGAGGGGGATGACCTCAACTAAAGAGAGCCGACAATAAAAAAGGGTTTGCAGGGGCGACACTGGCAGTAGAGAGATGTTAGGGTTAGGGTTAGGGTTAGGGTTAGGGTTGGGATAGGTTGGGTTCAGGAAGATGGGGATATTTTTGAAATTTTTGAAAATTGATAGTGTGCGTTGAGCAAAAATAAAAAAAGTCAAAATTGTGTTTGGTGTTTACTGAGTAAATGGTGTATACTAAAAGAATTTGTGAGGTGGAAATAGAATTATCCAACATTTTGTCTTATTAATTTTTTAGCCAATTTTATCTTTTTATGACTATTTTAACCCAAACACCCTATAGCTCCGTTTGGCAAGGAGGTTTGCGGCTATATTAGCCATAAAAGACAAAATAAGCTATTTTAGTCACAACAAACAAAATATCACATCCAACTTATAATCATTACATTCTTCTCTTACAGAAAAAAGTCAAAAAAGCCAAAAAGTCAAAAAGTCATTCCCAAACCAAGCTAAGGCCTCGTTTGGCAAGTGGCTTTTTTAGTCAAAAAGTCAAAAAGTTACTAAAAAAGTCAAAAAGCCAACAACCTATACCAAAAAGTCAAAGATTCCATTTTTTCTCTACTTTTTGCATATCTTTTCGTAAAAAGCTAAAAAGTCATCCTAAACATACTAGCTTTTTTTTTTATATCAAAAATCAAAAAGTTACTAAAAAAGCCTATTCCCAAACAAGTGTACTTTTCTCAAATGCGACTATGTAGCAGGTATGATGTGACACTCTAAAAAAAATTAAAAAATTCCTTAGTGTACTTTTTCTAAATATGGTACTCCAACGTGGCGGGTATATTGTGACATTAAAAAACTTCTTAGTGTACTTTTTTAAATGTGACATTCTAATGTAACTAGCAAATGAGTCATTACACATCCAAAAGGACTAAATGAATCATAAGAAAAAATATGTATATGAATTACAAGTCCAAAATATATTACTTATTAGTCAATCTCCCAATTTTTATCTCAATAATGAAAAAGTTATTTTTTTAAAAAAATATATATTTGGGAGGCAAATTGTTTTTTGAGATATAGTTTGGGGAGTAAAATGAAATTTCAAATGAACTTTGGTACTTCGTCAGCACAATTCGTCTAATTGTAGATGGAATGTGACAGCAGTGGCTAAATTGATCAAAATTTTAAAAGTGTTAGTATAAAATTGATATTATTCAAAGTCTAAAGGTCAAATTAAAAATGCATAAAAATTTAGAGGATAAAATGATATTTCTTCTAAATTATATGAAGAGTACTTTTCTATTTTTTATGAACATCTTGACAGCTAACAAACCAACCTTCAATTAGGATTCTCCATTCCATAGTCACTAGAGAATCATAGGATGGTGAACCCGTGGCTCTATATCGTTTAGCTCTAATCAAATACACAGTACGATTTATAATTTCATTCAACAACTCCATGAAAGTAAGGCTATGGTTGGCATGCCTCCGTTTGGGAAGTGGGCTGGCTTTTTTATCTTTTGACTATTTTAGCCTGAGTTAAAGGAGTTTTTAATTTTTTTTGAGTGTCATATCCTACTCATCATGTTGTCATATTTGGGACACAGCAGCAAGTTGGTGTCGATTCCAAAAAACTGTAAAGACACCAAGAGTATGACAACAAGGTGGTGTCAACCCTAGGAACCTATGGTATCGACCCCAGAAGAAAAACCAAACATGAAAAGAAAGAAGAATGACCGCTAAGGATATGATTTTTTGGATTCAAATGCAATAAATGGGTCGGGTCTAAATCAGGATCGCTATACACTACGTGTCTCATTAGTTTCGAAAATTAGGGAAAACATTAATTTTGAAAATTAGAGAAAACAAAGATAGAAAAATAGAGAAATTTGAGAGAGAGAGAGAGAGCCCATACTTGAAAATTGAAAAATAAAGAAATCCAATAATAAGAGGTGCTAATAAATGAGAACACGTGGCATTGAAGGAGACAAGCAAATGGGGTCAGAGATGCTGCATCGGCGGCGGCACTGAAGGAAGAGAATAGGTGACGTGGTGGTGGCACTCAAGGAGGACAAGTGGTGTTAAGGATAGAAGCTAACTTGTGTTTTGTTTTGAGGGAGAGAGAGAGAGAGATGAGAAGAAAACTGATAAACACACAAAAAAAGGGGGGGGGGGGAATAGTCTATTTTTTTCATTTACCGCCTAATATGTCAAATTCTCCCTCCAAAATTAGTGACAAAATAATTTTCTCACCAAAAGGTCTCAAAATATTAAAAATTATTAGTGACGAAAATATATTTATCACCAAATGGTTTTACAATATTTAAAATCAAATTTCTAAAAAAAAATTCAAAATTATTGGTGACGAAAATATACTTCTCACTAATAATTTTATAATTGGTGACAAAAAAAATTTCTCACCAAAAGTCTCAAAATTTTGACACCACCCAAAAAATTTAGTGGGAAAAGTTTCAGTAATGAAATTTAATTTTTCCTCACCTAAAAAGAAATAATTATTGATGAAAATAAATTGTCACCTATTATTTTTATTTTTTTTATTATATGTGACAAAATTTATAATTCTTCACGGATTATTCTTATTTAGTGACGAAATTTGTATTCTCCACTAATTTTCGTCACCATAGGTTACTTTTTTTTTAAAAAAAAATTAGAATGTCACATCATACCTACCACGTTAGAGTGTCATAATAGTACTTGCCACATTGGAGTGCCACATCATACTTGCCAAGTTAATAAAATGGTATAACTGTCCACCAAAATACTATCAAAACAAAAAATAGGACTACACAAAAAGAAACTCTCTACTAATAAGACTTAACAAATCAATAAAAAAAGCTTGGGACTAATTGGAGTATTTGTTTGTGAGATGAAATTTATTGGTAAATATCTTTAAAAAAAAAGCATTTATTAAATATTTAAATTTATTTTTTATATTTGGATTGCAAATTGATTTTTAAGATATAGTGTGAGGGGTAAAATGAAATTTCAAATGAATTTTGGTGCCACTCAGTACAATCCGTCCAATTCTGGATGAAATGTGACGGGAGAGGCTAAATTGATCAAAATTTTGAAACTTTGGATGTAAAATTGATATTAATTGAAGTCTAGAAGTCAAATTGAAAAATGCGTGAAAATTTGGAGGGCAAAATAATATTTCATCTGTAATTTATATACAAATTTGCCACTAAAATAATTTGACATAATATTAAAGAGCATGAAAAAAATATTAAATATTATTTAATAAATTGACACATTGTTTTAAAATGATAAGTCCAAATGCAATCATATCATTCTATAAAAAATATATAAGCAAGTTTGGAAGATTCTTTATATTAAATTTTCTTTTGCATCAACTTGGATGATCATTCCAAAGTTTTTGATGAAAACAACTATGATAAATCCAAAGACAAAGGAAAATGAAAGAACATAAACTAAACCAATTTTGTTTTCCGCATCTACAAACTCTGTTTGAGCATTTCACTAAGTTCTTGACATATAGTTTACTCTAAAGCCCATCTAATACAGGTATGATTTATCAATCTGGTTCATGGATGTTCTTTCTTTTCTTAATCATGATCATAGTCTTCAGCATCTACAAACCAATTATTTCAATAATCATCCAACGGTTAAGAAAGGTCAGGTCCAGTGATGGCGGCAAAGTAACTAATGCAACACCGGTTTCACTGCTAGAGGTCAAGGTGTTACTCCCTGCCAAAGTGATATTCGCCGATGAAGCCATTGCAGTGAAGTTTGATCCATTCGAATTGGTTCAACTTCCAAAAACTAGGCTCGGCGAAGGGACCTTGGGGACTCTATATAGGGTTGTTCTTAACAATGGATCGATCGTTACAATGCGAAAGATCCAAGTGGGATTGGTATTGGGATTGGTTGGTTCAGATGATCTTGAGTTATGGATCAAGTTTTTTGGAGGGCTGAGATGTGCTTGGCTTTTGGCAATGCAGTTTAGTTTCTGGTATGGTGGGGAAGCTTTTATCATACATGAGTATCTCTGCTTGGGGAGCTTGGAGGAGCTCTTACATGGTGAGTGTGAAATTTTATGGTTTTTCTCTCCATCTTCCTAATCTCAAGCCCTGAATTTTAGGCTCCCATTTGTTTAGGTAGAAAACATTTTCGCGACCTCGAAACTAATGTGTTACTTAGTAATTCTATTTTGTTTTGGTGAAAAAACGTTTTGCTAAAAATATTTTTTGTAAAAAATATTTTCTTATGTTTAGTTGTGATCTTGAAATTGATGTGTTAGTGGTTGTGGTAATGGTGGTTGTTGGTGTGGTGACGGCAATGAAGTGGTAGTAGTAGTTTTGATGAGTGGTAGTGGGGTAGCGACAACGATAGATGGTGGTGATGGTGGTAGTGATGGGGTAGCTAGCGATAGTGATAGCTGGTGATGGCAGTGGTGGTGGAGCAATGGTAGTGATGACAGAGGTATTATGGTGACGTTGGTAAGACTTTAGTCTAAACAAATTTCACATTTCAAAAGTTAAAACTGTTTCAAATAAAAAATAAAAATAAAAAATAATTTTCATCCAGATAAATGTACTTTCTATTGATTTTCATTCCCTGTCATACTTGAGGCCAAAAAATGCAGAAAATGTTTCCCGCTGGAGTAAAATTTTATTTTATTCTTTATATTAGTACTCCTTCAAGTTGCATTGAAATAAGTAGAAAATTTTACTCAAGTTGCTTTGAAATAAATAGAAACTTTTTGTAAAACCATAGTCTGAATTTTTTTTTCACCTTTTAAAAGTACAAGTATTTTTCACCCAATTAAACTTATTTTCTGTAATAGCAAACACCGAAAAATGCATAAAATGTCTTTGGCAGCGTAGAAATTTACTTTATTATTTATATCAGTACTCCTCGAAGTTGGATTGGAACACACTATGAGGATATTAGAGTTAAACTTTGCTTTCAAAATGACAATGCAGGAAGTGAAGGTACTCAATTCACTCCTTTAAATTGGGGAGTTCGCATCCGAATAGCTCTTTGTGCAGCCAAGGCAGTAGCTTTCATTCACAAACAAGTCACAAAAAAAGGTTTGGTCCTTGTTTGTGGAGTGATCAAGTCCTCTAATGTCTTGATCCAATTAGACTTCTCAGCCTGCCTTTCCGGCTACGAAACACCTTACTTAATATCCCCAACAACGATCATACGCAGAAATCCAGGCAGGGTTGCACCAGAATTAACACACCCCCAATATAGCCCGAAAGTGTTTACTCAAAAGTCTGATGTTTATAGCTTCGGTGTATTGCTTTTAGAGATTGTTACTGGGAAAAAACCTACTGTCACCGACTTGGGAGAGTACGTGAAGCAGAAGAGGAAGAAAGAAGGGTTGAGAGGATTGTACGATAAGAAAATGGTTGATTTAGAGGAAAATGTGGTTGATGAACTGCTTGGCATTGCTGGGATCTGTCTTCTACATAATCCGAATGCTAGGCCTTCCATGGAAACAGTGGTGCAGATGATTCAACGGTTGCAAGAGAGAGATTCTCTTTCTTCTCTCTCAAACAAAACTACGAATTAGTGAGGTGTAAATGGATTTTGACTGATGTCATTGTAAAATCATACCTTTTTTCATTGCAATAAAAAGTTTGCACTTTTCACAATGTGTGCATGCTCACTCCATTAATATTTAGTGAGTAATTTAACATTGTGATGCAAATCAAAATTTGAAAAGAGAAAATTGGTGATAAATCCAATTTAGATAGTGTTTAAGGTATTAAGTACAGTGTATTTTTTTTATTTGTGGAAGGTTCATCATTTGTGAAATAGTTTGGTGAGAGGTCCTTTCATTTGTTTTGAAGGACATTTTGTTTCTAATTTTATCCCTTAATTTATCTATTGATTTTTTTGACTATCTGTTGAAATTATTTCCTATCTATTCAAATTTTTTTATCTATCTATTCAAATTAATTTCTATCTGTTCAATTTTTTTTGTCTATCTGTTCAATTTTTTTCTATGCAAATTTTCTATCTGTCCAAAATTTTGTCTATCTGCTCAAATTTTTTCTTCTCTCTACCTATTTCCACTATCTATTGCAATCTATTTCCCCTTCCTCATCATCAACAACATATAATAAAGAAAAAAAAAATTCAAAGAGAAATTTTGAACATATTTGTTTGTTGTATCTCTTTATCAACAACAACAACAACAATCATCCACAACTACAAATATATATACATAATCTGTTCAACAAATGCGTTGAAGCTCTACATCTGTTTTAGAATTGAAAAAACAACCTTTTCATCAGCAATCCTAATGACATGCTTTTGCTTATCAAATACCTTATTTGAGAACCTGATATTCGAAGCATTTGGTGTAATGTTACCAGACTTGATTCTCCTCTTAATTTCCTGTATTTCTTGTTTACAGTGTTGCTCATTTTGTTACTATCTTGTAAGCTTTTATCTAAATCATGCAACAATGCATACTGTTGGAAATTATGGTTTTATGGTTTTATGGTTTTATGGTTTTTATAGGCTTATTTTGGGCCAACTTTGAGCCCAAATTTGAGTGGGGCCCACACGTCATTTGGGGTGGGTCCACACATCATTTGGGGTGGGCCCAAAAAGATGACGTGTTCCTTGCTGCATGGCAAGTCACACGATGCAAACGGTTTGTCAAAACCATTTATGAGTAAATGGGAAGTTGACGTCGTTTTCGGATTCGGGGAATAGGAAACTGAAGAGTCAAAAATGGGTTTAAATGATTGTCCCACATTGAAATTTTAAGAAAGCTTGTGTGTGTATATAACCTCTAGGTGGATTAACTTAGGTTGGGCCCCAAGGGGCATCCCAAGTTTGTAGAAATGAGGAGTTATGGACAAAGTAGGCTTTGGCTCAAACCACCACACATGCCCGCGCCGTCTGTCTGTCTAACCGGCTAGGCGTGGTTGTGGGCTGTAGGTCGAGTCGGTCATAATATTAATTTTTTGGACAATTTTTATTTAATTTTTTTTTTCAAAAATTCTTGCGGGAAAATTATTTTTTTCTGAACGAATTCAAATTTCCTGTCCAAACAGTGCCTCATCCGATTCCATTTTTCAGAAGATTTCAAACAGTTTTGAATTTTGCATCTGTTTAGTTTGAATTCTGCACCTGTTCACTTCAATCTGCACCTGTTCGACTCTACAGATTTGAATCTGTATCTGTTCAATTCAAAACAGTCACCAATCTATCTATAAATTGAGACCCTCTTCCAGCAGTTTGTTCAATCTGAAATTCTTTGCTTGCCTTCCATTTTGCTCTCATGCATAGATATTTTCTTCATATTAGTTTTAGACAAAAATTCTTAGAGTATAAAGCACATGTTCTAGTTCGCCATACAGATTATTTGGAGTGCTACTACAATCTGTGTAAGATCATTGTATCTTGGAAGATAGGCGCCATTTATCTGTAAGCACCGGAACGGGACGAATCTGTCTTAAGGACAAAGTGTCACACACTAGACTTGCTCATTTTTGTACTTATTTGTTTCGGTAAATAAATTATATAAGTAATTTATTTTTATTTGTTTGATTTATTTCACATTATTATCTCCTCATATACAAAAGATTGTTCCTATAATCTTAAGACAAATCGAATTATTTTGTTTATACCGAACTTTTCGTTTATTTCCTTTTATTTCTTTCTTCTTCTTACAGAAATTATTTTATGTGTTTATACAAAGTAATATTCTTGTTGGAAAATACAAATAGTAGTAATATACTGTTTGACAAATAGTAGCAATATATTGTTTATTTTCTTTGACAACTAGTGGTAATATACTGGTTATCATTAACAATCTCAGAATATTTATTTGTGAAGTTGGTCAGAAATTAATTATGGTTTTCAGAAATAATTTCTAAGTTTTCATTTATTAAAATTCTGTTTTTAGTATTTTAATTTTTGAAAGTGTTACAGAAATATTTTTCTGTGTGGAATTAATTTGTCTAAATAAAATTTTATTTTCAAATTAATTGGAAATAAAATTTACAATTCTTGTTTATTTTATTTTTACGGAATTAAATTATGTGTTTATGGTTTAATTTTCTATGTAGTATAAAATTCTAACTATAATTTTGTTTTATAATTTAGAATTCATGGCTATTGAAACTAGTCAAACTAATATTCAAACCAGTACTGGTATGGTAACTGCAATTGCTCCAACCTCTTCTCCTATTATGATTGTGCCAGTCAATCACGGTGAAAAGCCATAGAAGTTCTTAGGAACTGATTTTAAAAGATGACAGCAGAAAATTTTGTT